CCCCAAAACCCCAAAACCCCAAAACCCCTGTAGCTTAAAATCGATTAAATTTTTAGATTAAGTTATTAATTAACTTTTGAATAATTTCCTCAATTACAATCATTTTGCGTTATAAATAGAAGTTTTAATGAATCTTAAAATTTCATTATTCGTTATTCTGAAATTAAACAGCATTATTCCTTCAACTGTCATCACCTTGGAAAATATCATCTTAACTGCTATTTATTATACTTTGGGAATCTCTATTAAAGTTATTAAATGCACTGAGGTTAAAGCTGCTTTATTAGTTTTAGATATTTATTAGAGCATAATTATTATTATAAGCTGAATCAGCATTTATAGTACTGCTATTACTTATATTCAAATCTAATTCCTTTTAGCCACCTACTATTACACTCTAAAATTTCTGTGATCTAAAGTCATGAAATTCTCGAGGATGCTTGCTAAGTATGTGTTAATTCAAAGAGCCATCAGATCCATAAGACTTTTAGCAGCTTTCAACTGGGCATTTATATCTTCTTTATATACCTTTGGCTGCTCGACGCTTACGCTTTACTATCTCACCTTTTGATATTTTCTGCTATCTATCTTTCTTTTTTATCGATTCAGCTTACCTCAATTATTTCCAATGAGCATATAGCTTATCAACTTGTTAGTCTAGCTCCTTGATCTTTAAATAGAGCTCATTATTAAGTGATGCTAATTTAGGTAGTTACTACAGATTCAGTTATTTTCCTGGGAAATCAATTAACCTCACATTCACCTAGCATAATATATTTTCAACCTCTTCATAAAATGATTCTGGAATTTGTGGTAGTTCATCATCATATTCAGTAGTAATTGGCTATTCAGCAGAAGTTAATTTTATTGTTGACACCAAATGAATAGTTTAATCCTCTGAAAGAGAGTCTAGAAATCTCTGTTCCTTATCATCAAAGATCTTACGCTATTTTATTTGTTTGTACTTTGAGTATAACTCGATTTGACAATTCTAAGAGTCTGTGTTTGAGTTGTTGTATTACTATGATGAGTTATTCGTATTGCATATTGAATCATCTCAATTTTGCAAGAAGCCTATATTAATTTAGACTCATAATTTGATTGAAAAATAACAATACTATTTGAGTTTTCATTGTGTGAAATTTAAGAATCATTTAATGATGGTTGATAGCTCTCTGGATTACAGATATTTTCATTCTAAAAAAATGATTTATTGCTTAGAAAATACCTTAATTCTTTTCCTTAACAAAGAAAGTTCTTCTTTTTTAACCGATTAAAATCCTATTTTATCATTTTAAAACTCACTATTAAACTATTAGCCAGCTTGCTTTAAATATAACTTCCTATTATAATTAATTACGATTCACTTTACTTACTACTTCTAGTTTGTTTCAACATCAAATTAATTTATAATGGGACAATTTCATTAAAATTCTTCAATATTTCGTCTATTGCTAATCTAGTAACACTCATTTTCATCTAATTCCCTCTAAAAATTCTTAACTTTGTCAAAATTTACTTTAAATTAAGATTAAGTTGAAGCTTCAGTTGATAAATGATTAGTTTCAATTGTATTTGAGAAGCCTTGCTATTAGCTTTGATACCCAAAAATCTAGAAATGAGGACTCATTGTAGGGCTGTTTAATGGACTTATCAAAACTTCATTTTCAAGAGGTATGTTTATTTAAATAGAATCTAGTAAGTCTTAAAAGAATGGATTGAGCTTTTTAAGATTTTAGTTTTAATTGTTTTCTTACATCTGGCTAAATATTAAAAGCTTGGGGTTTTGGGGTTTTGGGGTGTTACATA